TATATTAATATTAATATTAATTTTCATTACATACAAATATATACATGCAAATTTTCTAAGCAACTTTTGCTAAAAATTGAAAAGTTAAACAAATTTATCAGCGTTATTCAAAAAAAAATTAATGGTTACAATCTAAATAATATAAGTAATGTATTATTAATTATTTCTCTATCGATATAATTGGAACAAGATATTAATTACTATATTAATATCTAAATTTTAAATATCAATGTCCATCAGAGGTTGATCTTAAAATGTATTAAATTGCATCATCAGAATGTACAATGGCAATATATAAAGCCTTCTATCTCCCACCCCAAATCGCGTCAATATATGTCTTTTCACGCATCTATACAATGATGACGCTACTCGCGGTTTTATATTTTATACACGAAGCAAATAATACTGACGCGCCGAATAAAATATGAAATACCCGGTATATAACGGCAGGGGGATATCGAGGACGAATTTATTCATAGGCCAAGTCAGTAGTTTTGTTTCTCTCGCATTATCGGACAGAAAAGAGAAGAGTGTATATTTAGATTAGGTACCAGTTCTCTATTATTTAGTGAGATCTAGTACTATTGTTGCGTATCAAAAAAGATAATTATGTTGATCAATTGACACTGTAAAATGTCATAAAATCAATCAAAATAATTACGATATCAAAGTAAATATAACGATATAATATTTTCTATATAATAATGATTTATTTTTTAATGATTTTATTTAATAATCATTAAAACGTCATTATCATTTTTTATAATTGCTAGTTTTTCTATTATTGAAAAATGCTGCAATATCATAGTTAATTGATATTTATAAATCATTTTGATTGATCTTAACATATTTATGTCACTATCAAAGCAAATATGATGGATATTAAAGAAAGTAGGTTTGTTATAACGTGATCTCATCATTTCATAAATGTGCTATATAAATATTTATATTAAAGTAAATTACAGTAACAAGCGTTTTTGAAAGAAAACAATTATTTTAATTAAAAATGTATCTATAATTATCGTTAATTCTGTCATGTTTTTTTCACGAATTTAAAGTTAATTTTTCACAATAAAAACTTTTGCATCTTTTCAATTTTCAATATTGAATATAAAATATTAAAATAAATCTTTGATTAAAATTCTATTAATTCTGTTGATATAACAAAGAGAAGCTATTGAAAGAGAATTTTGATTATAATAAATAAATCTATATAATATTACATTCGTGTATATATATAAAGATTACTCAATATTAAAATTTATTAATCAGACAAACAATAAAATGCTACGCGCAGCTAATATCCATCATTTATGCCTCATAAAGTGCAGTAAAATAAGTGTTCATGAGCAATATCTGCCTACATTCTCCCCTCTTATATAATATATTTTCGTTTTTATTAAAAAATTTTGGGATATGTGCAATGAGAGTTATTAAAAATGACAAGTAAAAATTCATTTGTAGTCTGCCAAACAGTCAAGTTTTACTTTAACGTAGTTTATGTAAAAGTTCAGACAGATCCATGGTACAAAGTATATTATCAATCGCGAAAATTTGTTGAACTCTAGTCATATGCTTCAGTTAAAACATAAAGTAATATGTTAAAGGTAAAATTTGCATATGTAAATTAAAAGATGCTATAACAACTGCATACTACTTATACAATCATGATAAATGAATTTTTAATTCCAGATTCTTAATTGTATATTCATAATTTCTATTATATTATACACTGATAAGAGAAACAAAGAAGCTTTCTTAATATTCATGTAATATTGCATTCTGTATTATATATTAAATATGTTATCTCTCAGAGAGTGAGAAGTTAGCTACAGCATACAGTTTTTTACTAAGCAAGATGCATTTTCATATCCTGTACTCGAGAACCAATTGCATCCGATGCAACTTGTATCATATGTGAAAAGACTTACCTGTCCATTTCTGAATTGTTGCTGTTGCTGCTGTTGGTGATGAAAGAGCGCGACCTGTTGTTGAGTCATCTGATTGTTCAAGTAAACCAAATGTTCTGCACCAGGTGCTCCACTCTATAAAATAAACATAAAACATTTGTATGAATAATAGAAGATCATCTATTGCTGGATAAAGTATAATTGACATATTAATAATTATCTCTTACTTTTAATTGCATAGGATGTATCTCATATGGTACATTACTTAGATGTACATTATTCATAGTCAATCCAAGTTGCTGAGATTGACTCTGCTGAGGTACACCGAGCTTAGTCATAGAATATTTCCACTTCTCTTGATTCTGAAACAAATTATTTCAATTAAATAATTCGCTGATCACTACAAATATAATATTACTAATATTACTAACAATATTATTACTAATATTATAACAATAATATTACTAACAATATTTTTATTTTTTCTTTAGAAAAAAATATGCAGCAGATAATAAGTATTACATATATGAATTTGATGAACATAACACGTGCATAAATCATAATTATTATTAAATGATAAACTATTAATCAAACTGAATGAATATTTTATCATACATACATTATCGACAATAACATCATCCGCTAAAGCCCATGCTCTTGGAGCTTGTTTCGCTTGAAAAGTCGAAGATTGGGTACTAAATTCTGGTTCTGTAGGTCGTTGAAATACATAACCAACCATGGCATCGTCTTGAGTTCTATTCACCCCCATCTGATGTGTCTGACCAGGTTGAATTCGCATATTATCCCCACCAGCCATAACTTGTCCGCACTGTTCCGTATCCTAATACCAAGCCATATATATATATATATATAAATGATAGCTAGTATTATCATGGCATGCTTATAACATTATATATAATTACACAATCACAACTGCTTCATATATTTATAACCAAAATAATATTAATATTCAACAATCGTAATTGTTTCAGCAAAAGTTGATTATGTACATGATTTTACATCTATTTTTCTAGTTTTTAATATTAAGTATCACATATTTTAAAATATTTAAATTAAGTTTTAAATTATAAATCAAAGTTCAAAAATTAAAATTCAAAATTAAAATTCGTATTCAAATTATGTCCAGAGATCATTAAGATTATCACTATGTTTATCCTCTTTCGAGACTTCACAAATTCCCTTACTTTTCAGTCGCTTACAATTTAAATGCTATTAACAATTGAACATATACCGTAACACAAACATCATTTCTTCCTAATCCCGCATTATATACCTAAATTCACTTCATCACGCTCTCTCTCTCTCTGTACAAACATACAAGACCGAGTCAGCATCTCTATCGACACCTTAACCCACTCATGCTGACATTTGCAAACGCTCATATTCTCACTACCGTATCACGGCTGCTCGTCGAGGTTATGGCGGCCGATCTCGTGCGCCGCAATTAATCGTAGTCACGCTCGATTCGCAAGCCCCAGCGTCTGCATTGCTCAACAAGGAGCAATGGCAAGAGAAAAAAAAGAAAGAAAAAAAAAAAAAGAAAAAAAAAAGAAAAATAAAAAAAAAATAGAAAAAGAATTTGGAATAGGCGGACGCGTGTACCGTGGGTATGTGGCCGTTGGCGGAGGTGTGATGCAGCTGCATGGAGGATGCCGGTTCGCCTCCGGCGCCTCCGCTGCTCGCGCCGAGCCACTTCATGTCCTCGTGATGTCAGGTCGCGCCGCTGGTCCGGCCGAGCGTGCTGGGGAGATGGGTGATGGGCACCCTCGAGCCTCGTGAAGGTTAAACCCTCGTACGGTGAGGAGCCGGCGGCGCGTCTCTGGCAGAGATGCCGATGATGATGCCGCACGTTACGGCCGTTGCGCAAACATGTTTCGGTCACACTCGCTGATACTTAACGGCGGCACATCTTCGGGTTTCCACGACGACGACGACGATGATGATGATTACGGCAACGACGACGACGACGACGACGACGGTAACGGGGCGGCTTTTGTTGCTGGCTGTGACGATGGTGGTGGCGGCGACGATGATGATAGTAGCGATGACGGCAAGCGGCGCGTAGATATCAGTCTCGAGAAGACCGCAGCGTATATCGTGCTGCGAGCGAAAAGCAGATAATTACAGCAATGGCAGCTGTGTGCAGCTCCGGCGCGCTGCTGCCGGATTTTTGACAACACTGTGTATGCTCGGACACGAAGATAGAGAGAGAAAGAGGGGAAGAGAGAGAGAGAGAGAGAGAGAGAGAGAACACAAAGGAAACCGTCGTGAACGGTATTAGGCGCGCACGATGACCGCGAGGATCACTTGCTCTCGAGCTCTTATTCCGGCTAAAACGACGGCACCGAGCACGGATCCGACGTACGAACGAACTAACCGACGACACAACACCACGGCGGATACGCTCGAGAAAAGACGGAGGAAGGAAAGAAAGATGAAACAAGCGAGAAACGACAACTGCGTGCACGTCGGCGGCGAGAAAGGAGAGGGAGCGGGAGAACGGGAAGGATCGCAAATGAGAGAGAGAGAGAGGGAAAGATAGATGGAACAAGTGAGGGCGCGCACGCGAAAGAGAGAGAGAGAGAGAGATAGTGAAAGAAGGAAGGGGGAGGGAGACACGGAAAATCCACAAAACTCGTGGAAACTTGCATTTCCGTCATCCCCGATATTTGCTACGCGAGTTTGAGAATTTGAACGAAATTTACCTCGCCCTCGAACGAACGGCGTGAACGGCTTCTCGACGACTGTCTCCGACGTTCCGCAATCAACCGTCTTTCCGCCTGCGCTACCCTCTTTTTTTCTCCGTCTCCTCTCTCACTCTGTCTCTCTCTCTCTCTCTCTCTCTCTCCCTCTCGCGGTCTTCCTCCTGCCTTCGCGTCGCTCTCTCACGCACTCTCACGTATGTTCTCCGTCTTCGCGGCTCTCCCGCCTTCTTCTTCAGTCGGTCATTTCGTTAAAACTAAGGCTTAAAATACACTATTCACAGGTATGTACAGCCACGCGAGAGCCATAGACACACGACGTGCGTCCACCGGCGTGTACGCGTGTTTCGCGCGCAAGGATGCTGCGTGCGCGATTTTAGGGTAGTGGGAGGCGGGAAGAGGGGGAGGAAACGGCGCGGACGGTTAATGTGTCATATGTCATATACCTTGTCTCGCTTTATCTCGTTACCTCACGTTGTCGCGCGCCAATTTACGTCGCGTTCCCGGACTATGGAATCCAGTCGTTCGATATTCTTTCTTTCCGCGATTTACGTCGATAAAAACACGCTTATATTTTCTACGCATCGGCGTGAAATTTTGACGGATTAAAATTGGGAGAAAGAAACGTGACTTCGCGCGGACGCTTCGTAGCCGCGATGGAAATTCAATTTTTTATACAGATCGACAGAGACGGACGTGCAACGCCATCTGCCGTCGCGATTGTTTAACGTCGCGAGAAGAGATAAATGGCTGTTTATGGCGCGAAAATTTGAATGTCGCACAAACTAATATGTTATAACGATTCTAGTATCGAGGTATATCGAAGTCGTCGATGTAGCGCCAATTTCAGATGTAATTAACATGGAAATAAATTTCAAAATATTTTATGAGACATTAGGAACCCATATAATAAATTAATTTGCAATAATGTCTTTATTATATATAATTTTTTGATATTGGAATGAAATATTAAAATATCAACGATATTATAATGGAAAAGTCCTCTGACATATTATCGATTGTTTTTTGTTAAAATGTATTTTTCTAAAAATGTGTAACATATCATATATGTCGTATATGAGAGAATTAGACATCGGAAAATTAATAAAAATCGTTAATTAATATATTACATTGTAAAGCTAAATAATATCCAAATATTTATATAAAATAAACAAAAATGATGTAATCGATATAATGTCATAAAAGATTTCAAGTCAAGAAAAACACTTTATTCAACACGATATAAAAAAGCTTCTCGTACCTTATTTACAGTCTCGTAATTCCATTTTTCAAAGGATGAATACAAAACAATATCTACCTAATGAGCAGACAATATTTTTGAAAATGTTCTTAAAGATTTTTAAAAAACTTTTTATAAACTTTAAAATAATAGGTTAAATTCCCTTTTAATCATTAAAAAAATGTTTATATTAATATTTGCTATATCAAACGAATATTTTATATTTAAAATAAATAATTAATAAATATTAAATAAATATTATTTTTACAATCAATTTATACAACATACAATTAATCAACAATAAATATTAAAAATACATTTAAAAAATATTGTCTGTCCATTGGATACGAAAAATAAAAGCTCTTAACAAAAGTTAATACAAGTTAACAAAGTCCATGAATGAATTTATACCAATCGACGCAATCACGTTCGCTTTCATAACAAACTCGATTGAATGCACTGGTGAAGGCTTTCGTAAACATAAAATAAGATAAAAACAAAAAATGTATGCATAGCAAAAAAAAAATACGGCTGATGATCCATGAAATTCTCACCTTACATCCTCATATCGTTTAACAGAATTTACGTTGGACACTTGAAAACATTTTTACGCTATGCGTTTCATTAATTTATTATAAGACATTCTTCGATGTGCTCCGATGCGTACTATATATATAGTACAACCATCGAATTCGTTATCGCAACTGACATTGGTAACGCGTGGCAAGGTGGTGTTAGCTCTCCTCTATTAACCCGACTTGAGTATTCGTTCGAGTGCGGGATGGAACGAGTAATCAGTCCGAGAGTAAATAACAGTGCAGTGTCGGACGGAACGTGTCAATTCGAGCGTTCGTAACGGCGCGAGAGTGACAGATGACAGATGACAGATAAGCGTGTCGTCTCTCGTAAGTCAGCGGAGCGCGAGGCGAGTGGCCGACACGTAAGTGCGAAAAGCGGTTAAACCAGATTGTACGACACGCAAAAAAAAAAAAAAGAGAGAAAAAAAAGCAGAGTAATATCACTCGAGTTCCGGATGCTGATCGGATTGGCACGCATTGATAGTGATCATTATATTTATACAACGGAACGATCATCGGAGAAAGAGAGACGAAATTCCTTACCGTATCTAATTATCTACGATTAAACTCGCGGGGATTACGCGCAATTTTCGTATATAACGAAGTTATCATATTTTGCGTCGTTACATTCTCGTGTAACAATAATTGGCGAGTTATCACCTCATCGTTCGTGGCATGTTACATGCGTGCGTGTGTATACGCACTTCTCATGATTCGGAAAAGATAGAGAGATAATACAGAGGTTAGAGCAATCATGGAACGGTCGCGAATATAGAAACGGAAGTAATTAACGCCGTTTTATACTCTCTATGTTTTGCTTCATTCATCTGTAGGCGAGCACGTATCTATTTTTGAATTTTTCTATTATAGCTAGTAATAATTGAACTGTGACGGTGCTGCGTCCCTTATTAAATGGAAATCCAATAAGGAACAAAAAATGAGAGAAAGTGACAGTTATAGTTTTATGAGAGATAGTGATAGTTTTACCGAGATGTGTCAATAATACAGAAATATATCGGGATTTAAATCGTGTTTTTATATCTAAGATGTATTAAAAATTATTTTAATACATCTTAGATACAAAAACGCATTTTTGTATCATTATACACACTGATGTTCATATATCATATAAATTTCAAAATAAATTACAACTTAAATATATATAAAATTTGAGAATATGAGAGTTACTCTTGGAAATATTAGAAACTTTGTATATATATATATATATATTTAAGTATATAAGAGAGAAAGTATGTCTATATAAAGTATGTTTACTTTATTTAAATCTTATATTATTTTATTATATTTTCAGATATCGTAATGTTGTGACACATCACAAGCAAAAATACTTTATTCAAGATGCTAGCAATTTGTACCGGACGACCTGGTTGGCTAGGGAAGTTTGGAATAGCATTACTGGTCACATGGTTTTTGGTATTGATTCTATCCATCATTCATATATTTAAGTTGAATTCCTTGTCAAGCCGAGATGCTAGTACTGCCAATAAAGAGAATACGCAACGCCTAGCACAAATGGTTAACGACTTTGAAATTCTAAAGAGGCAAAACGATGCGTTAAAGAACTACATATTAGGGTATGTTTGCGCACGAGAATGTATGAAAAACATGGAAATATTCATCAACATTGAAATGTGAAATTTGAGACATGGAGCATTGCGATCTTTTCATTGTATAGGCTAACATAATTTCCAGAGAAGGACCAAAATCTATAAAAGGCGATCATTTAGGTTCCATACAAGATAAGGTCGGGAAAGCGTCAGCCTATTATGACCTGATAGAGCATCAAGATGGATTACAGCATGGTGTTCCTTCCTTAGAACACGAAGAACTGCGACGGCGATTGAGAAATGATATTCAGGAGACATGGTAAATATAATAATGGCTAACTGAAAAATGCAAATATGTTTAACATATTGTATAAAGGATTATCTACTTATTATATGTCACAGGTATTACATTAGCGCCGAATTAAACAAATTTAAAAAGCACATTGATGAATTTACATATGAACAGAGGGAGAAAGAGATACAAGATGTGCTGAAAAATGTATGGGAACACAAAAAGTCACTTATAACAAATATCGATAAATTAAAGAAAGTAGATGGTTATGATGAATGGCGGGAAAGGGAAGCAAAAGATTTATCTGATCTAGTTCAGAGAAGATTTAGGTACAACTTGTCATTACATAATATTGAAATATTTAATATGTCAAAGCAATCTTGCAAATCTAATCTAATCTAGCTATATATATCTTCTCAAATCTGATTGTACATTTGTATTTAATTTAAAGGTATCTACAAAATCCTGCCGATTGTAATAAAGCAAAGAAATTGATATGTAGTTTAAATAAAGGATGCGGTTTTGGCTGCCAAGTAAGAAAATTAAATTATAGTAATTATATTATATTTAATTAGACCCTTAAATGGGGCAAATAAAATAAGTACATGTTTTCTCATTTGCAGATTCATCACATCACATACTGCTTTCTAGTAGCTTATGGTACAGAGAGGACATTGATAATAAAATCTAAAGGATGGAGGTATCACAAAGATGGCTGGGAATCTGTATTCAAACCTTTCAGCGATACTTGCGTATCTACAACAGGTGTTTCACATTCCAATTGGCCTGGTGATCCTTCTAAACAAGTAATATCCCTGCCGATAGTAGACAATGTTTATCCAAAACCAAGGTACCAACCACCTAGTGTACCTGCCGACTTAGCGCCAAGATTAGAGAAGATTCATGGTCATCCTCTAGTTTGGTGGGTAGGACAGGTATTGAAATACTTGATGCGACCTCAGGATCACGTGAAACGAACATTAGAGAAGGCAAAAGAGAGACTTGGTTTTAAGAAACCTATTGTTGGTGTTCATGTACGTAGAACTGATAAAGTAGGTACGGAGGCAGCTTATCATGATATAGATGAATATATGACTAAAGTGGAACAGTATTTTGATGAACTTGAAACCAAGCCAGATGTAAAGAGGGTCTTTATAGCTAGCGATGATCCAAAAGTGATAACAACAGCTAGAAAACGTTATACAAATTACGAAATAATAGGTGATCCGAACATCGCTGAGACAGCGTCTGTAGCAAAGCGATATTCAGACACTTCGTTGCAAGGAATAATTATCGATATTCACCTTCTATCCGAATGCGATTATTTAGTGTGCACGTTCAGTTCTCAAGTGTGTCGTGTCGCGTATGAGTTAATGCAAACCTTCTATGTGGATGCATATGATAGATTTACATCCCTCGACGATATATATTACTACGGGGGACAAAATCCGCATCCCCACGTAGCTATTTTAGATCATAAACCGAGGAAGAACGGGGAGCTAGAATTGAAGATCGGAGACTTGATCGATGTTTTTGGTAATCATTGGGATGGTTTCTCCAAGGGGTACAACACTAGAACTAGCATGACAGGATTATTTCCTAGTTTCAAAGTTAAAAATCCCGTTGATGCTGTAGATTTTCCAAAATATTCAGATGTTCCTCTGGTGGAAGATAAAACCGATTAAAAAAATCAGAATAGCAAAGCTAATAATTCTCTCTATCTTCATAGAAAGAATTATTGGAG